CCGTCTTGAGCTGTTGGAAGGCCTGTTCACATTCTGGGGCCCATACTACTATCTTGGGGAGGTTTTTACACGTTCCTATATGGCACTTACTGGGCTTTAGGGTCAGTCCGGACTCCCTAATCCGGTCTATTACGGCTCCTATGTGGGTCAGGTGTTCGGGCCAGGAGCTGCTAAAAATGTCTATACCATCCAAGTAGGTGTGTATCAGTGTGTATCAGGGATCCTTAGGACAGGTGTCAATCCATATCTGCCAAGTGACCCTATGTTGGGGTAACATTCCCTATTCTGATCTGTGTCAGTGTGTATCAGGGGCTCTGAGGACAGGTGTCAATCCATATCTGCCAAGTGACCCTATGTAGGGGGAACAGTCCCTATTCTGCTCTGTGTCAGTGTGTATCAGGGTCTCTGAGGACAGGTGTCAATCCATATCTGCCAAGTGACCCTATGTAGGGGGAACAGTCCCTATTCTGCTCTGTGTCAGTGTGTATCAGGGGCTCTGAGGACAGGTGTCAATCCATATCTGCCAAGTGACCCTATGTAGGGGGAACAGTCCCTATTCTGCTCTGTGTCAGTGTGTATCAGGGGCTCCGAGGACAGGTGTCAATCCATATCTGCCAAGTGACCCTATGTAGGGGGAACAGTCTCTATTCTGCTCTGTGTCAGTGTGTATCATGGTCTCTGAGGACAGGTGTCAATCCATATCTGCCAAGTGACCCTATGAGGAACAGTCCCTATTCTGCTCTGTGTCAGTGTGTATCAGGGACAGGACGGTGTCAATCCATATCTGCCAAGTGACCAGGCCCTATTCTGATCTGTGTCCATGTATCAGGGGCTCTGAGGACAGGTGTCAATTCCATATGTCAAGGTGTCAATATGTCATGTCAGGTGTCAATCCATATTGATTGTGATTTAGGAATGTTAGGGTGATTTCTGCCCTTTGTATGGATTAAAACCAGACTCTGTATCAACTGTGTAATTTTCCATGGGAGTTTTGCTACGGATCCTCCGGCATGCCACAGTCCAGGTGTTAGTCCCCTTGAAACAACTTTTCCATCCCTATTGTGGCCAGAAAGAGTCCCTGTGTGTTTTAAAATTCGCCTCCCCATTGAAGTCAATGGCGTTTCGGGCGGTTCGCCGGTTCGCGAACATTTGCGGAAGTTCGCGTTCGCCGTTCGCGAACCGAAAATTTCGGGTTCGCGACATCACTAGTAATACATAATTATATATTTTTTTACTTTAGCAGTGCGGCCATTTGGTACTTTGGACATATCTCTGGCACTCAAAAAGTCAACAATGCTAAGTGATATTTGTTTTTTTAATATTTTAACAACTATTTTAATATTTCATATTAGTCAGATCAGGAGATGTGGAGGTGGGGTTTTCAGAGAGAGATAATGGAGTCAGTTTCTGTAAGTGGAGTCTGGCACCCACTATCTTAAAACTTCCCAAGCCATCACTGATATAAGGTATTATTCTTGTTGTTTGAACACTTTAAATACTTTTTTTGTGAGGTGTTAAAAAAAATCACTCCATCATCACCCTCCTGCTTAATTGCTGGTGGGCCATGGCAGACTGAGCACTGAAGGAATGTCTTGAATGCTCAGTAAAAGTAATGTGAATGGTTGACTTGACACAATGCATGCCCAGTAGTGTGTTTATACACAAGTATTTATGTATTTAAACTATAGAAAGCCAATCATCTCACTCTATTTACTTGCTGAGTGTCAGGATTACAGTATGATCCAGCACGTAGAATTGTGTAGCACAGGGGACTGATAGGTAACGTATACGGACCTTAGAATGGCCGGACTAACATACCAAAGAATAGTCAGGAATAGCCGAGGTCAAGGGACACAGAAAGAGACACAACGATAAGGAAAAGCCAGGGGTCAGGGATGCCAGAAAACAGGGAAGTCAAAAATAATGCCAAAGGCAAATAACCAGAATAACCAGAATCAATAACGCGCTCTCGGACAACCACAAGGGAAACCACGACAGGGCACTGAGCAGGATGAGAACTGGGCTTAAATACCCCTGGATCTGATAGGCTGTAATTGGCCTTTGACCCCAAAAGCAGTTACCAGGTTCACATTTGCATAATTGCTGCTTAGCACAAACCCTCCTGTGGATTTGATTGCTGCTCGGTACAACTTTTCCTGTCAGAACAGTTAATGTCATTAATCACATTTGTATATGCGGATGAAAACGTGACACTGAGGTCTCCCATGACCAAATGTACACTTTTACCCATTTTCCATACAGTATCACATGGGAAAGCATGCATCGCTCAGCTCTTTGCTGAAGTACGGAGAAGGCTTATTGTACTAAAGGATATTACCTAGTGAGATCTAACACCTGCTCTTACAACGTGTAGCATTTCCAACACTAAAGAGCTTTGTTTGTGCCCATGAAACCACAACTTCAATAAGTGAGCAGTAAACGGGGTTACAGGTTTTTTTTATTACATCTCACACTTTACTACTTGTTGTCACAACAAAATTATGCCACTTAGTAAATAGCATTTTTTTCTGCAACATTTCAGTGCTCCCCTCGCTCCAAAAAACATTAACAAACAAACATTGGGCACAGCTGAATTGAGCTCTAAATGTTTTGACTTTTTTGAAATTATTTTTAGAAATTGATTTAATAACTGCATATATAAACGCAAGATGGGAAATTAGAGAACGGGACGAAGTACAAATATCCACTTATTGAATCAAATTGATCATTGGTCATTTTAAAAAAAATTATAATACAATTTTCAAAAATAAACCCAATAAATTTGTTGTCTAATTCTTTTAAGTGCTTTAATGGGTTATAATATATTTTGCATCTTCGCATATGGTCACATATGGTCTTACCTGGCTATTTAATTGCTTTGGACATGTTATAATATGTGATCATTGTTATAAGCTTGTCTTTGGCAGAGTATGGTTTGTAATGTCCTGTTTTGTGCCTTATATTGAGTTTATTTCAAATTCAAACTGATATTAGGTTCATACTCGCTGGTTCTTTGGCACCCCCTAACTCCTATTTTCAACCCTCTTTTTTTTGTATTATGCTATTATGTTAGTGTAAAGGTATGTGTGACCATCAATTAATTTATTTGAAACAAACTTTTCATTATTACTTCAACATGCATCTGTGCAGATCCTTTAAGTCAAAACGGTTTGATTGACATTTATTCACACAGAAGGGAAAATAGCACAGTCAGTAAAAAAGGGGGACAAAACAATTTTTAGATACATAAATGAGAAAAGAAAAGTAAAACAAGGATTAGTTAGATTAAAAACAAAAGAAGGAAGGTATGTAGAAGAGGATAAAGGTCTAGCTGACTGCCTCAATGAATATTTTTGTTCTGTATTTACAGATGAAAATGAAGGAAAAGGACCTCAGTTGAGAAAAAGGATAAATGAGTCATTTATTACACGTGAGTTTACAGAGGAAGAGGTTCTATTTCAACTGTCAAAAGTAAAGACAAATAAGTCAATGGGACCTGATGGAATACACCCAAAGCTATTAAAAGAGCTTAGTGGTGTACTAGCAAAACCATTAACAAATTTATTTAACCAATCATTGTTAACATGAGTAGTCCCAGAAGAGTGGAAGTTAGCGAATGTTGTGCCCATTTACAAGAAAGGTAATACTGTAGGTAATTACTGTAGGTAATTACTGTAGGCCAGTAAGCCTTACTTCAGTAGTGGGGAAAGTGATGGAAACCATGTTAAAGGATAGGATTGTTGAACATCTAAAACACATGGATTTCAAGATCAGAGACAACATGGATTTACTTCAGGGAGATCATGCCAAACTAATCTTATTGATTTGTTTTGATTGGGTAACTAAAATTATAGATCAGGGTGGTGTAGTAGACATTGCTTACCTAGATTTCAGTAAGGCTTTTGACACTGTTGCACATAGAAGGCTTATCAATAAACTGCAATCTTTAAGTTTGGATTCCAATATTGTTGAATGGGTAAGGCAGTGGCTGAGTGACAGGCAACAGAGGGTTGTAGTTAATGGAATATATTTGAAGCTTGGACTTGTCACCAGTGGGGTACCTCAGGGATCTGTACTTGGACCCATTCTCTTTAATATTTTTATTAGTGATATTGCAGAAGGTCTTGATGGTAAGGTATGTCTTTTTGCTGATGATACTAAGATATGTAACAGGGTTGATGTTCCAGGAGGGATAAGCCAAATGGCAAATGATTTAGGTTAACTAGAAAAATGGTCAGAATTGTGGCAACTGACATATAATGTGGATAAGTGCAAGATAATGCATCTTGGATGTAAAAACCCAAGGGCAGAGTACAGAATATTTGATAGAGTCCTAACCTCAACAATTGAGGAAAGGGATTTAGGGGTCATTATTTCTGATGACTTAAAGGTAAGCAGACAATGTAATAGAGCAGCAGGAAATGCTAGCAGAATGCTTGGTTGTATAGGGAGAGGTATTAGCAGTAGAAAGAGGGAAGTGCTCATGGCATTGTACAGAACTCTGGTGAGACCTCACTTGGAGTACTGTACGCAGTACTGGAGACCATATCTTCAGAAGGATACTGATACCTTAGAGAGGGTTCAGAGAAGGGCTACTAAACTGGTTCATGGATTGCGGGGTAAAACTTACCAGGAAAGGCTAAAGGATCTTAACATGTATAGCTTGGAAGAAAGATGAGACAGGGGGGATATGATAGAAACATTTAAATACATAAAGGGAATCAACACAGTAAAGGAGGAGACTATATTTAAAAGAAGAAAAACTACCACAACAAGAGGACATAGTCTCAAATTAGAGGGACAAAGGTTTAAAAATAATATCAGGTCGTATTAGTTTACTGAGAGGGTAGTGGATGCATGGAATAGCCTTCCAGCTGAAGTGGTAGAGGTTAACACAGTAAAGGAGTTTAAGCATGCGTGGGATAGGCATAAGGCTATCCTAACTATAAGATAAGACTAGGGACTAATGAAAGTATTTAGAAAATTGGGCAGACTAGATGGTCCGAATGGTTCTTATCTGCCATCACATTCTATGTTTCTATGTTTCTATTTGTGAACAGAACAAATATGTATCAAAGCATTTTGACAATTTCATTAACTAAGGGGCTGCATATTACATAGAAACATAGAAACATAGAATGTGATGGCAGATAAGAACCATTCGGCCCATCTAGTCTGCCCAATTTTCTAAATACTTTCATTAGTCCCTGGCCTTATCTTATAGTTAGGATAGCCTTATGCCTATCCCACGCATTCATTGGACCTTCTAAAATGTTCATATTAATTTGTCTCATATTTCTTTCTTGAATCAAGCACTCTGTATAGGCCATGTGTTCTTACATTGGTAACAGAAACAAGTGTGCAAACATCATGTTACCCTAGATCCATATGCACAAGGCTAATTCTTAATGCTTGGTCAATTGCAAGGATACATTCTATGGTATCTTTTAAAAACATTTTATTTTTTTATGTAACATTGTCATAAAAATAAATATTAAATGTCACACGTTGATGGGCTATGACATGTTAATGCTTAGAAAGCCTGTTTAGTAATATTCATGAAATATCAACTCCTTGCTGATATATCTGAGTGGTTCTTGCTCTCATGTGGACAACAATAAGGTTATTCAAATTTACTTTGGGCAAGGTCTTCTCAGAATTGTTCTAAAGTCGTCTTTGGTCACGATGTGTGCAAAATAATTTAAATAAGATTAGAAATCTGCCAGCTTCATTTTAACATTACTTGTTAAAATCATTAAGATATGAATTAAGTCAGTGAAAAATAAAATGTAACAAACAAACAAACATTTGTCTTTGCCCCCTGCAGATAGTTATGTAAAACAAACTGTTACAGAGTGACAGTGAGTAATATAGGCTGAAGAAAGCCTCAAGTGTATGAAATTAAACATTTGGATATGATGACAACTTAAAGGCCAATCGTTATCTCACAAATATTATTAATATTATAATCCTTTCATCAAGTATTGAAAGAAAATCTATTTATTTTGTTTCAAATAAATTATATAGATATATAAAAACCTCATCCCTAACTTTTGTATATCACTGGCTTCCTGTTTATTTCAGGATTTAGTTAAAATATTGTGTGCTTAGAAACATAGAAACATAGAATGTGACGGCAGATAAGAACCATTCGGCCCATATAGTCTGCCCAATTTTCTAAATACTTTCATTAGTCCCTGGCCTTATCTTATAGTTAGGATATCCTTATGCCTATCCCATGCATGCTTAAACTCCTTAACTGTGTTAACCTCTACCACTTCACCTGGAAGGCTATTCCATGTATCCACTACCCTCTCAGTAAAGTAATACTTCCTGATATTTTAAAACATTTGCCCCTCTAATTTAAGACTATGTCCTCTTGTTGTGGTAGTTTTTCTTATTTTAAATATAGTCTCTTCATTTACTGTGTTGATTCCCTTTATATATTTAAATATTTCTATCATATCCCCCCTGTCTCGTCTTTCCTCCAAGCTATACATGTTAAGATCCTTTAACCTTTCCTGGTAAGTTTTATCCTGCAATCCATGAACCAGTTTAGCAGCCCTTCTCTGAACTCTCTCTAAAGTATCAATATCCTTCTGGAGATACGGTCTGCAGTACTGCGTACAATACTCCAAATATACTTACAAAGCACTCCATAACTGTGCCAGTTTGACCTTGTTTTCTCAGCTGATAATTTCTTTCTGTCCAGTTCTCACACATGCAACCCAGACTCTTGTCTGAAGGATTTCTCCTGGTTACCCCTTTGTGGAATGCCCTCCTGCAAGACAAACAACTCTCCTCATCTTTTCAGACCTTAAAAAAAATCTGTAAAAACACACTTCTTTAGAGAAACCTATCAGTTGTGCCCTTAACTCCTCATTACCTACAGCCTTCCAACAACTCTCCCTCCTCCCAAATATCCATTTCATCTTTGGGTACATTCAAATGACTTGAATCTCTTTGTATATTTGCCCCTCATCCCTTTAGATTGTGAGCTTCTTTGTGCAGGGCACTGTTCCCATATGTCATAATTTGCAGTGTTTAGTTAGAGTTAAATGTTTGTCGTGTTTACTATTCTTCAATAATGCAGAATATGTTGGCACTATATTAATAATTGACAAATTTTACGAAAGGTAGTGACGAATTATTCCCTTCTTTTTTTACATATACTTAATTTAAAAAAATATATATTTCCTGTCAATACTTGATGAAAAGATTGTTATATAAAATATTTTGAGGTGACAGTTGGCCTTTAATTTTAGGATGATTTAAAATGATTATATACTACTAATAATATTAGTATTTTATTATTATTATTGTTATTATTTGTATTGTTATAATTTATAAAGTACCAGCATATTTCACAGCACTGTGGAAAAAGATGTGTTGATGGTACAGGACCAGAAAGTATGTGAGTGCGTGTGTTGTAATTAAATTTTGTGATTTACGGTCCCTCCCCTGAATTCAAACCATATGATAGGAGGTTATTGGCCTTCTTACATGGTCATCTTACATGGGCAGTTGATCATCTTACATGGTCATTTTACATGTGCAGTTAATCATCTTACATGGTCATCTTACATGGGCAGTTAATCGTCTTACATGGTCATCTTACATGGGCAGTTAATCATCTTACATGGGCAGTTGATCATCTTACATGGTCATCTTACATGGGCATTTTGGTTGACAACCTCTTTAAAATACCGCAGCTTGCCAATCACTAGTTAGCCCCTGTTGAAGGTACAGCAGTAGCACCGAAAAACATAAGTCGGGCTAGCTGCCTCGCACACTTTCAAGGACTTTTTTTTGCACCTTATGCACTTCCTCACATTGATATTCTTTTGCATCTTGTCTCTTTTTAGTTATTTTTCAAGGCTAAGTAGGCTGTCAGTGACTCTTCACTCACAGCTGATGTATCATATTTTCTTGTCTTTTCTACTACCCCCTTATTAGCCTATCCTGGGATGGGTGAATGCTTTCCTACACCCTACATTTTTTCTTTCATAGAATCCTGACTTATTATCTGCTATATACAGACACAGACCATCAATTATTCTCTGCATATTACAAAACTTATTACCTCATTCTTATAATTATTGTAGATACTTTATTTTCTTTTTATTTATCCAACCTTCCTCCTGGCTAGACGTATTAATAGTGGGTGAAATTCAATAAATTCCTTAAGATAGTTGGTGACCACATGGACAATACTTGATTAAGACCTGAGAGTGGTTTAATCATCATCTGTTACATCGCTATAGTACATGCCTTCATTTAAGACAAGATATGTTGTCTTCTTAGGCACACTATACAAATTGATATCATTATTTTGTATCTAGTTCATACAGGAACTTTGATGTTAACAGGCCTGACTACCATAGGTTTTTGTCATAGGTTTAGTATATAAATTTGTTTTTATGTTACCTAATAATAGGGTTAAGCCATTAGACAAACCCTTAGATAGCCCCGGTCTGTCACTCTGGCACCTTTGCACAGAACTTTTAGTTCTAGTGCATATACCTTATCTCTTGAGATTTTGGAATACATATTAAATTGATCAAAACATTTGAAAAATATTTTTAGAAAAAAGATTTAAAAGATGCAAATCTTCACGCATACTTCTAACTGCTATTGTATTATATAATTTATTTTAAAAACAAATAAACCATAACTACTTTTTGTGTATTACCGAGAAACATAGCATCGAAAATTATTGTTGTAAAAACGATTGGCATGATGAAGACTAAGCTTTATATAATTCAGCAAGGGATGGTATTCAGAATTCTTAACATTTTTTCACTGTCCATATCCGCTGACAACATTTATGAGAAATATATCAAAATAATCAAATTTGCCTTATATCAGTTTTTATTTAATGTTCTATCATATTGAATTCTGTGGGTTTTTTTTTTTTCTCCTTATGCGGAGGATTGATATAGATAGCATTCTGAATTTTTACAATGATGTCCAAGATACATCATGTTTTCCTTTAAGGAGATACAAGCTCACTGACAGTCTTTCCTATTTGCATATGTTAGCCCTGATAACTGTCATGCTGGGACAGGCGTACTGTCCCTAAGTGTCGTATTATCAAATCTACATCACAACGTGATTAGTTTTGTTAAGGAAGCACCGTATGCATGTTGTGCATACTAGATTACATTACTGAAAATATCTCACATTGCTCATTTTTTAATTCCCTGGTCGCAAATGATTGTTGCGTGTTTGCAGAGCTGCTAAAAAAAATTGATACATATTATCATTCACTTGGCACTCACTGAAAACCATAATAGACATGACATGAGCATTGACTAGACCCAATATTAGTGGCGAACCATTTTTGCCTTTGATTGCCCGAAGGCAGCAGTGATCCCCAGTATGTCCTATCTGTCAGTCTATTTGATCTCCAAATGAATTGCTTTTGATAACAGCTATATAAATGCAGAACTGTTCCGCTGGGTCTTCTTAAATGAGACTACTCTCTTTCATCTCCTAGTCATTTCAAAAAGCAGATAGACTTGTTTGACGTTTTAATGCATTGATTTATGATTCATCTTGCCAGGGCAGAGGCTGCATTTATTTAGCACTAAAAAATTTTTTTCTCAAAAGTGTCCATGTGAAAGAATAAAATATCTGAGATTTTAACAAAATCTTTTATAATTTATTGACCGTTATTATTACCTTAAAAAATGATGAATAAACTTTCCTCTGGGAACTAAACTTCGATTATGATGTGAGAGTTTCAGAATGTTAAAAAAAAGTTTTAAAAAAATGGAACTCACTAAAATATAGATTCCTGTCTGCTTTGAAACTCACAGAAAATCTTTTTAAATGGAAAAGAATATCTTTGTAAATCTAAATTAATACATTTTACCTCAAAACAGACTAGTTCTTACATGTTTGAAGGCTGCATCAGTAGGAGTTTAAAATATTGGATGATTTTATTTGAGGCTATAGTGATAACCCCAATTTCTGCAAACTGCAAAGGATTATGGGAAAACTGTGCCAGTGGTGTGTGTGTGCTATCATTACTTACATATACACATTGCTTACCTGTGGAAATGATGGAAGGGGCCTTGGTATCATGTAGCCAACATCTCAATATTTTTAGGTTTATCTTGATATCTGAGGTCTTGTTGCAAGGTCAGCCCTTGCTTCATTATA